AAAGATCGCGCGGGGGAAGAAGCGCGCGGGCTGGAGGTAGCGGCGCGCGGGGTATCATGCGGGAGGTGGGAAGAAGGTGGGGGAAGCGGGAGCGGGGTCGGGATCGGGGAGACAGGACGAAGGTGGGGGAAGAGGGATCGAGATCGGGGGGACAGGAAGAAGTTGGGGAGGGAGGAAAAAGGATTGCACTGGGGGAGGGAAGAAGATAGCGCGGGGGTCGGGAGTCGGGGGATCACGCGGGGAATCAGGGTTGGGGAATCGCAGTTGGGAAGGGTGGAGGGGTTCCGCGTGGGGGATCGCGAAGTCGCGGGAGGGCGGGGAGTGGGATTGGGTAGGCAGCGGGGGGGAATAGCGCGCGGGAAGAGAGGTGGAGATGGCGCGTAGGAGGAAGGGGGAATGAAGACGAGGAAGACGAAGAAGAAGGAGGGATGACGACGACGAGGAGGAGAAGGAAGAAGAACAGGGGGGGAAGGAGGGTTGAAGACGACGAGAAAGAACAAGAATCGAGAGAGGAAAGGAGGAGGAGGAAGAAGGAGGAAAGGTAGCAATGACGATGATGATGAGGGGAAGAAGAAGAAGAAATGAGGGGGGAGGAGAAAAAAAGAAGGTTTATTGGTCACTTACCTGCGCGTCAGCTTCGGGATCGGTGGCGTTGCAGCAGCAACGAGGGAGGCAGCGAGGTGCTGACGTGGCAATGGTGACGACAGCAGGTACGAGGCGCTGATGTGGCAGCGATGACGACGACGAAGATGATGATGATGGCGATGATGGCGATGATGTGGCAACGACGGCGATGATGACGGAACAGGGCAGGAGGGAGGGCCGAAGCCGCTCCAATACCAGTGTGACGAGGCAGAGACAGAGTGGCGAGGCTGAGGGAGAGAGAGAAGAGAGAGAGAGAGTGTGAGAGCACACACACACACTCACTCGACTCAGACACAGACTCGACTCAGACACGGACTCGACTCAACACGACGGACGCAGACACGACGTGGCAAAGTCCCGAAGTCGCAAAGTTGCAATCTTGGATTCCAAACACAAAGTCGCGGCAAGTCACACTGAAGCACAAGCACAGAGGCCAAAGACTGAATGCCCCAACGGGGCTCGAGTCTGGTCTTAAGTACCGGACTCAGGCTCAGTCTGGAGGGCCGACGTGCGGCCTGCCTCAGGACTGAACTGAGGGTCACAGGTCTGAGTCTGGGCGCCAGAATGCCGGATGGCGCCAAGTGTTGAAATCCGAAAGTGCCAAAGGAGGGATTTGAAAACGGGCGCCAACAGTCAGAAACCGAAGAGCAGGAAATAAAATAAAATAAAATAAAATAAAATAGCAGGCTGGCGGGTGGTACCCCACGGACCAGGGATCGAGCCCTGGGTGAGTCTGTAACACCACGAGTAAAGAGGGCAGTTCCACAGGCAAGAGTCGTGTCCCAGAGGCAGGAGACACAGTCCACAGTCAAAAGTCATGTTCACGAATGAAAAGTCATGACCCAAAGGCCCAAGCAGCAGCAGACCAATGGAAATTCGGGAAGGTTCCAGGCTTGACATTCAGAAGCAGACAGGCCGTGGGGATGTGGTACCGGAACCAGTCAGGACCCAAGAAACAGAGGCTGGCACGAGTTGAAGTGCAAACCAAGACTATAAAAGGACTGGCCAGCCTCCCATTCGGGCAGATTGCTCATTCACGAGAAGTGTGGAAGTGCTGGTGCACTTTTGTGCTGATGTGAGGGGCAGAGCGCTGAAGCCAGAGTGCTGCACTAAGAGAGAGAGAGAGAGAGAGAGAGAGAGAGAGAGAGAGAGAGAGAGAGAGAGAGAGAGAGAGAGAGCTCTGGCAGGGAGAAGGCAGCCATAGCTGCGCCAACGCAGAGTGTTAGTAGTGGACTTCAGATATATAGTAGGCTTATCAGTGGGTATATTCAGAGTAGATCTTTGAGTGGACGTTAGTGAGTGTGCATGCATGTAGGGAAAGAAGATATAGCGAGGACATAGCTTGAGAGAAGATCAGTAAGGAGAGGGGTTACGCAAGAGAGAGAAGAGCAGAGAGGAAGAGATAGATACCTGAGAGCTTATGCTGGTTACTGGTTAACGATATGCGCTGATGAGCGCTGGTGACGTGAACTCTTATTGCACTTGTATAACTTGTTGGAATTCATAAGTTGCGTTATCTGGTCTTAATCTCTCTGGTCTTCAGTGTGAACTTCGTGTGATCTCACATATGCATGAGGTGTGAATATGTGCGCTCACTGGTGTTGAACTAAGAGGTTCATAGCAGTGAAGTGGCGAGGGGAAGGAAAAAGACTCCTGCATACTTCGTTGAACATTTGTTTATGGTTGTTCAGGGTTGTTGACAACGCGGTTGTGATTCTTGGAAAAAGTATTCCGGATTGCTTGGAGGAGGACGGGGGATTGGAGAATTGAAATTCGTTTTTCTGTTCTCTGTGTTTTTTGAGCTTCCGCTGTGCATATCTCCTCTCCGGTTTTGTGTGGATTTGCCTCCTTCGAGTCTACTCTGCAATTGCATGTGTGAATGGGAACGTGTGAATTCACTGTGGATTGAAGCTCAATTGGGTACATAACACAGCCATGGCAGCCACAATGGCCAAGTCTGTACTCATTGTGTTCTCTCTTGACTGTGTTGGTATTTAAGCTTATTGCCTTGGTGTACGCTAGGGCGTTTTCCTCCTCCTTTACCTGCTCCTGCTCAACGTGCAGCAGCTACAAAAAGCACTAAACCGAGTTAAAGGAAGAGCAGCAGCTGTACTCGTCTGTGGCCCCAGTGTGGCAATCTCTTCAGTACACACCGCATGTCAAGAGCCTCCTCCTCTTCTTCTCTGATTCTTTTTGTCCCCTCGTCCCTCCTGCTTCTCTTTCTTTTCTTTGTCTCCTCCTCCACATCCTCCCTCCTCCTCTTTATCCTCTTTTCTCTTCTTTGCCCTTGTCCCTTTCCTCCACTGGATTCTCTTTCTTTGCAAGGTCTCCTGTACTTTTTCCATCCCTAAGTTTTGCACACTTGAGGCGAAGAGCATAGGGGGAAGAAGAGGAAGCGGAAAAGGGGCTCGAGGAAGACGGACATAGTGATCATTTCGAACATGACATAATCGTCCATAGTGACCAGTGTTGGTTCTCATACCACTAACTACCAAACATTGACTTTCCCTTTGCTGGCGATCTACGCTTGTCTATGGTTCTACAGTTCAGACTTCGCCAGCAGCTTTCTTTACAGATGGGCTCTGCAGTGGTATCTAGACTTACTACCAACTCTAGCATCGACTTCCCCTCTGCTAACGACAATCAACACTTCTTGAATTACTGTACACTGCTGCCCGTACGTCTTCAAGATCGCAAACAGGATGGTGTGCCAGCCGTGTGCCGGCTCCCTGCCTGAGAGAGTGGCCTGCAGCTTAGGGAACTGGGTTGTACACCCTTGTAAGATGCTCAAGATGTGAGGACTTGGCAACTCGTATGCATGAACGGCAGTCTACATCACCTTCAGGAGTTAACCACACTCTGGATTTGCCGGATCACAGGCCAATAGGAGGGTTGTTTTACGAGTCCCCCCTCCTGTGGCCCATGTAGCTACTACTGCTTCAGATTGCTTGTACCATGCTGACCTACCTATCTGCTGATACGATCCGGTTGAAAGGCCAGAGTGCACATCAGGATCTATTTAATGTCGTAAACAGGATGATGCGGTGAGCGCAGCAAGACCCTAACATGAATGCATCAACTGACGCAGGACCTAATCTATGACTTAACAACCAGCGGTCCAACATCAAGCAACAAGCAAGCATTACCCGGCACAAGCCACATGCAAGGATATGGTTTTCGAAGCAATTCACTACAAAATATTCCACTGTTGGTCCTCTGATTCACCATGCAAACAGGCCGCGCCAATCACCAGCCGGTATTATCCAGCAAACAAAGCGCTCTCCAAGTGCTGCTGAACTCCCACCTCACCAGTTGACCACTCTGCCAGGGGTCAACGCGTCAACCTGTGGGCCAACCAAGTTGCACTACACCGGGAAGACAATGAGTGTCGCTCTGATAACAAACTGCAATGAGGACTGCAATGAGGCCTGCAATGAGGCCCGGTGTCAAATCACCATCTTATGCCACAACGAGACACACTTCAGCATACAAGTGATGGAAACTCAAAACACAAGATATGAAAACTCAAAAAGTTCATGGAAATCAAAGTCGTATACAACAACTTTGTCTGCACACATTGGGCGGCTATGGCCGCCAGCCAACAACAACCAAGAACTCTCTCTCTCTCTTCCTACCCTCCAGCCGTTCTCTCCAAATATCTTGTGCCTCCTCGCTTATGCTATGCTGCAGCTATGGCACCTGGTGCCCATGGACTACGGCTACACTCGGCCTCACTTGCTGCCTCAGTCGTTACTTGGCCACCTGCAACCCTCGCACTTCGACCCGTTCGCTTGATGCAAGGCCCTCTGTTTCAAATTTGGGCCTCTTTATGTCATCAATAACAAACAAGAACGCAATAAGAGTCAATGAATGGTCCATCTTGCGTGATCTGTGCTGCAGGACCTGGAGAGGTGAACGCAGAATTCTTAATGAAGATGGTTAAAGCGACCCACATAGTCACCGATGGCAGTATGAACATGGATGAGGTACTCGGTTTATGCTACGCACTATCCGCAATGAAAAAGGCAGGGAGTTTGATGAGAGATGAATCAGAGAAGACGGAAAATGACAACACTTGTCAGGGGAAATCCTTTTGGGAGGTGAGGGCAAACTTCAGGGAGAGGAGAGTTGTCAATGACCTCCTGTCAGCCGGAGGGATCAAGGCATTGCAGGCAGCAGCAACATTGTGGAAAATTTTGGGAAAGAAAGCAGGTAAAACAGGAAGTGAACGATGGAGCAAGAGAATGGGGGATGCGGAGAAGCTGGCTGTGGTGGATATGGTAATTTCTGCTGGAGCTGTTGGGTTGAAGATAGCAGATGCCATGATTGATAAGTTTTGGTGGAAACTGGGGTGCAGAACTGAAAGGCTGGGCTCTGTGGCTGGAGGGCTCTCGAAGAGTGACAATCTCTGGGAGGTGGAGCTGCTAGGCAGGCTGGTGGTGCTTGGGGGTGAGCTTGCACTCGGTATGGGAGAGGAGCTGAGGGACCTGGTGACGGAGCACAGTGGGGTAAGCGTCAATTCTTTGGAGTTCGTGGGAAGCAACGGGGAAGAGAAGCGGCTGGCAGTGTTAATGGGCTCTCTCACAGGTGTAGCAGGGAAGGAGGGACTGGTTACAGCTTGCCATCTTATCGGACTGGAAGCAATGAAGAGAAAAACAGCGATGGCAGGAGGAATGACATCAGCATGGACTGATCTCAATGGATATGTGTCAATGATCGAAGAACTCAGTCTGTTAACCTGCTTAGAAGAGCTTGGGGGTAAGCGTGCCAGATATATAGGCGGAAGTCTCCTCCTTCTGGAATCCCTAGGCGAGACAGGGGGTGGGGGGAGAGAAGGGGCAGGAGGGACAAGAGGTGAAGCAGTAGAAGGGCGAGGAAAAGGAGGGAAAGCAGGAGGCAGTGGTGCTGATGAGTCCGAAAATATCCTCCTTGCTGAAATCTTTGAGCTGTGCGGATTTGCAGGCCTCCAGATTGGGGTTCATCTGCTAGGCCTCGGCAAGCGAAGGCTTAGCGAGAAGAGCTCTCATAAGGTAAACTGTGAGGAGCAGATCCGAGGATGGAGTGCTCTCAACAGCGGAGGTGAAGGACTAAATCGAATGACGAGAGAGACTAGCCGTGAAGAGTCACCTATGAGTCAATGTCAGAAGCTTGCTGGAGTCCAGGAGGGGGGCCATGAAGAACCGCCTGCTAGTCAAGGTCAGAAGGTTGCAGGGGGGGAGGAGGGAAACGAGGATGTAGAGAATCTGAAAGCCAAGTGTGTGGAAGGAATGGCAATGGCTGTGAATCACCCCATCATGCCAGTGGATATTGCACACCCCAGCAAGGCATGGAATCAGTTAGATGTGCACAGGGCGGGTTACGCTGCAATGGACGGCGCAGCAGAGAGCCTTCACAGCAGCAAGGAAGAGACAGGGTCGCTGTTTTCCTCAGCACCATCATGGTCATCATTGGAGGTTGAGGACAAAAAGTCCAATTTACAATCAAGAGTCCAGGAGGAGGAGGAGGGAGATCAACGGAGTGACGTTGAGTGTGTCACTTGTTTGAGGTGCAATATGCACAGACACACAGAAACAAACAATAGCATAACCATCTCCCGGGCAATGGCGAGTGGTGAGAGGAAGTCGCGGGGCAGCACAGCGCCGAAGGAGAGTCCGTGCAAGTCGTTGATGCAGAAGCTTGTTGCACTGAAAGAAAAAGGGTGCGAAGGCGATGTGCTGAGAACCATTCTCACTTGCAAAGGGAGGGATGTAGATGCTTTGAAAAAAAGTAATTGGCTGATGACAGATTTTATCTTGAGATGGGCTCTTCATCAACGGTGGGAAAATTTGAGGTCATTACTAGGTCACGGAGGCGTGGTTGCTCGATCAGTGCATGGCGGATCCAGTGACAAATTGAGAGTGACCTATATTATCTTACAAAAGCTTGACCGGCTCAGAAGACGTCAGATTGGGAAGTTGCTGACACTTTTGTGGCGTGAACATGGTGTCACGTGCGTCTCAGAGCAAATTGGCACAGGTAACCATCACTTAACGGCGCGGATAATTTACAGGCGAGGCATGAGCACGAGTTCAGAAGTGAGAGAAAAAACGGATGAAGAAGTTGAAGCAGCAGCAGGAGAACGAGATATTGAAGACGATGACAGTGACGTTGGTGAAGGAGAAGACGGCGAGGAGGAGAATGGAGTTTTACAGCGCATTGTGGGGGAGAGAATTGTGTTGCGCTTTCATGGTGAGAAAGCTGAAATGGGTGCGGCTTGGTTCAGTTCCAAGTTCAAGGAGCTCGGTCGATGGGATTATGGTCCAGACATTGTCTTTGACGTGCACTTGGCTGTGAAAGGTGGTGGTCGCTCAGGGTCATCTCCTGAGGATGCGATCAGCTGCATGGTGAATATGGCTAACAGGCTCAGACTGACAGCTGAAGAAGTTGTGGTTTTTGCTGACACTACCATGGACTCTGACCGGCATTCTCCAATCCACATCACCATCAACCCCATCACCCACCGAGGTGGTGAGGTTTTGCCAATTGAGTATAGGGCTGCTACAGCTGCACCTGCTGCTTATGCTCATTCTGCTCCCACCCATCTGCTGGGGGCAACATGCAATGGGAGTGTTTGGGATTGGCAAAATTGGATCTGGGCAGTTGCAAGTATGGTTTTCTCTTGCTTCCGTGGTGGTGACTGTTGCGCAGAGGTGTTCACTAACATGAAAGCAGTCATGGTTGACCTGGTATCTCACGCGATTCTTGTGTGTACGGTAGGAATGGTGGTCCTCCTGGTCTTGGCCTTGTGGTTGCTATCTGTTCTAGTTATTGCAAGCAGCCACATCCCTTCTAGGCATGAAAATGGCAGCTTTGAAGGCAGTGAAGGATTCCAAATGTGCGCAACTGAATATGGGAACGAGGAGGACACAAGGGTGGAGGAGGAGGGAAGTTGTCATTCCCTCCCACTGTGTTCAGGGCCATTCCTGATGGATGATGAGGAGACAGAAGTCCATGGTGCTGATTTAGAAGATAATGAGAAGGAACATGATGTCCAGTTGCAGGATGGTCGCTACTATTTTGAATTCGTTCACAGACTCAGTCCGCCCAGAGTAGGAACACAGGAAGAGTCTGCACTCTGGAGCCAACGAAACAAGGGTAATGTGACGATTAGTGAGGAGGCCAGCAGGGGACTTAGAATTGGTGGGATTCCCCTTGGTGTGGGTGTCTGCATGGTTGGTGAAAGGAGGAATGCCCCTGATGTGAGAAAGGTGCCATGTCAAGTGCCAGTGCCTGCCAGCCTTCACGGTGATCAACAGCGCAGTGTTGGCCTCAGCAGCAGTCTTGGAATGGAAGGTTGTAAGCATATATGTGATGGAATGGTTTGTGATGTGGATCCCTGGTTCCCATCACCTGATGCGCCAACAGAGGTTGCTGCTGTTGCCTGTGATAGGAGGGACCCGCAGGAACATCTATGCAAGGAAGACCACAGATCTATCAGCGCGGTTGATGAAAGACGTGTTTTCAGTGGTATAGCTGACTCTTGGTCTCAAACGCCGGTAGGGAGTGCCGATCTCCACGATCTTGAGAATTATGTGATGCTCTCAGAGAATGATGCCACAACAAGGGTTGCTGGTGAGTGCAATACATCTCAAGGGGAGAGGAACATGCTGACAGCTCAAGGGGGCAAGAACAGCAGTGGCAGTGACAACATTCAAGCAGTTCCAGTGGAAGAGGGAAGGAGAAACAGCACAGCAAAAGATCACTTTGTTAGTCATCCTCCTGTGCATGCGACCGGGAGCCGGGGCAAGGCCATCCTATCAGTGAGTGACGACAACCCCAGTAGTTCAGGCTCAATCGTGTCCTCTTTTGATCCGCTTCTGACTGAAGATGTTCATCAGAATCATAATTATCTTCATCATCACCAAGCAAGTAGTGACAATGAGGAGCAACGACTCACTTCTTTGCCGGACAAGTGGACTATCTCGGAATCTAGCAGCCTCATCCAGGGGGACATCATGACATTAGGATGTCATTTGCAGCAGCAGACACAGGAGGTGGACAAGACAGGGGAACCAGTAACAAAAGCACAGACTCATGCTATTATTCATGGCATCGAGCATTTGGTGGAGATGTCCAGGACCGGGGTAAAACATCCCCTACCATTGACAGTAGTTGATGGAGAGGTAAAGGTTCCTATTGCCAGGGAGGGGCTTATCACATTTGACGAGATAGACTCCAATGTAATTGTTGACATCAGAAAGGAGAAAACACGCACAGAGCTATCATTGGTACTGCACAAAGACACAGACGTCAGAAGCCAAAATGCAGAACACAACTTGCACGTTAGCGAAGTACGAGCTTGGCAGGGTCATGACCAGCTGTTGGCTGCTGTGCAAGTCCAAACGGAGGAGGCAAGAGGGGGAGTGGGAGGTAGGGTTAGCCACGGCAAACCGAGGGTAGACATCAGTCATTTGAATAACATACTAGCAGGATCCATAGCGGCACTGATCCTTATCAACAGGTGGACATGGATGACAGAGACAACGGACGCTGAGGCCGTCATAGATGCCAAGCAGGAGAGTGGATGTAGAATAGCAGCAGCAACGGAGAAAGTGGTACAGATCGGAACCAGAGTTATATTACAGCGCATAGAGACTGGAGGGGTACCAGTCATAGGAGGAGGTGGAGGAGGAGGATGCAAGGAGACTGAAGTAGTGCAAAAAGGTGGAGATGCAGTAGTAGGAGGTGAGGAGAGCCATGGGGGGGGGTATGACATACCAGAAATTTCCTCGTTGGCAAAGCGAAACGTAGAAGTGGGTTTGGACCTAGAGAGGGGAATGGCAGCTGGCAAAAAATTGCTAGAGGAGGAAAGCGTAGACGCTTGGGAGCTGGACACCATTCCTTGCAATTTGACAGACCTAATCCTGTGTTCAACCGGTGCCAATCAGCCTGATTTTTACGAGCTCAAGGGATGGGACTTCCGTGAAGACAACAAGCCTTCTTCATCGTATTCGGTGCCAGAAAGAAGTTGCATGGAATCTGAAACAGAAGAGCCTAAAGTTTTGGAGGGAATGGACATGGGAAGAGCACAAGATCTGAAAAGTTTGGTGCTGTATCCAATCGGCGCCGCTCAGCCTGATGGCAATGTGCCACTTAATCTGGAGGAGAGTGAGGGAAGCATCGACTCCTTTCCATGGAATCCTGAGACAGAAGGCAGTTGTGTGGACTCCAAGATTGAAGCACTTCAATGGTTGGGGAGGATGGACATGGACAGAGTACAGGTAAGCACAGAGAGGCTCCCAAGCGATGTGGATTTGTCTGGCGACTTTTCTGAGACGAGCACGTCGACTTTTGGTGCAATCAGTTCGGATTGCTTTGAAAGCAATCTTAACAATCTGGGGAGTCAATTACCACATCAGGGAAGTAGGGTCATTGACATGGCTGGGGAACAATCAGGGACTACAGCAGCAGAGATAGGCTTCTTTGGGGTCGGTGTTCAGACTGAGCCTGAGTACGATGTGTTGCATGGAGCTGAAGCCAGCAACAGGTGGCTCCAGAGAGAATCAAACTACATTGCACACAAAGTGAGGCGGAAGAAGGACAGGCATGGGGACCTGTGTGCAGCAGTATTGTGCAATGATGAGGCAACAACATCAGAATTAGAGAGGAGGTCGCACCCCTCGACTACAGCATCATTGCTGTCAGTCACAGCATCGTCTGCTACATCCGACCAGGAACTGTTTGAGGGGTCAGCATCAGCCTCCCAAGATCCGTATGACTCGTCAGCGTCATCGACAGCCTCCACTCAAGAAGTATTTGAGTCATTTCCAGAGCATTCCGATGTTATGGAGGACAGAGGGCGTGTGAGCATGGTGGCACCATCAGAGGAGAACGGGGACAAGGATGAGCAGGACAAGAGTGGAGCAATCCATTCCAGTCAGCGGAACCGTGGAGAGGAGAACAGAGATGCGGAGAACACTCAATACAAAGTGACAAGTTTAAGTAAAGCATACGGGATCAGCAGCTGCCAGAGGATGCGAAGAGTGCATTACAGATCTCAGGACAGCATTGAATCAGACGAGCCAAGCTCAAACAGAGGAGGTGAAATCAGCAGCCTTATGGCAAACACAATCTGCTGGGTTGAGCAGGACAAAGTGCTGCTTGAGTCTCTTTTGTATGGAGGGGAACCAGGGTGCCAGTTGGCCAAGAAGTTATGCAGACATGAACTACATAATGAGGAAGTTGACTTTGACTTAACAGCTATGCATGGGATAGAAGAGATCTACGAGTGCAGTACAGACTACAGCAGTCGTGGTCAGGAAGGTGACGAGGATAAGTACAAGCATGAGGGTAGGCGCGAGGAGTTGGGATGCAGCAGTAGTGGGGAAGTGAGAGACTGGTGGAAGAGAGATCTGGAGTGGGGAAATAAAGATAATTGTGAGAAACCAAGATCAGAAGAAAGAGGAGAAGGAAGAGGTATGGTAATGGAAGCGAAGGAAAGAATACGAGTGGTTGAGCAGGGTGGCAATAAGAGCGACAATGAGTCCAGGGATGGAGATGGTGATGAGAATGAAGGTGATGATGATGTGTATGAGGAAGAACGGTCGGAGAACGAGATGTTGGAAAAGGCTAAGCACAAGATCAGTGATGATGTTGCTGATGATGTCAGTGATGCCAATGAGCTTAATCCTCATGCTAATCATGCTATTGAAGAGGGTGATACTAATCACACAGGCGATGCTGATTCTACTTTCGCAGCCACTTCTCCTGCTGATAGTGGTGATAATAATGATACTGATGAGCACGAAATCAGTGATGCTGCTTCCCATGATGTCATTGATGTCAATGAGCTTGATGTTTATCCTAATCATGCTATTGATGACGGTGATACTAATATGGCAGGTGATGCTGATGCTGCGTTTGCAGCTACTGCTGGTTATGATGATGACGATGATGACGATAATGATGATGACAGCAATAACAGCCATAACACCAATGATGATGATGATGATGATGATGATGATGAGGATGATGAGGATGATGGTCATGATGACGATAATGTTGGTATGCACTATAGTATCAACGATGAAACAACGTCCCATGTTTCCGTACACAGTGAGGGGATGCTTGGTGAGCTGTCAGCATACAGCTCATGTAGTACAGCCTCAGAATCTGAGGCTGGGATGACCTCTGCATCTTCAGACAGCTCCACATGCCATTGCACATCTGCTGGTGGCTCAGAGAGTGGTTCATTCTCGTGTTTAGAGGAGGATGAACGATCGAATACAACAAAATGGATGCCATCCTACTGCAGGGATTCGCGGAAAATCCCCTTTCATGAAGTGATTTATAGATCGAATGCATGCCCAAGTGTTTCAATGTCTGAGGCTGGCACAAGCACACTTTCTGAATGGAACCCTGTTAACGAGTACTGGGTGCATGATGAGTTGGAACATGATGTCTGCAATCACCGATTTGAGGAGGACAAAACAGGCCAGCCGGATGTTGTAGCATGGAAGGTGGAGGGATCAATGAACCGCAAATACCGAGGGCAGAACACTTGCTTGTTTGGTGAGGGTGACCTGGTGAAGCAGTACTACAAGATGAAAGAGAAGCAGGTCATCACGTCCAAGGTGTTGTGTGTGGCAGAAGATGAAGGCATGGACAAGGGGCTTGTTGTGACTGCTAAGAGGAAGAGTAAAAGGAAAACCGAGGACGTGCACGGCTGGAAAGAGTCTACAACAGTCGCTGTGCCAGTCTGGTGTAAAGATGACAACTGCATGACTACATATGCAGCAAGGGTGCAGGTCACCGATAGGGTTTCGGAAAAGGTTGTGAAGTTCTGGGGGAAGGCAGAGGGAGAGGATGGACGGGAGGCAAGGGACTGTTTGATGGTAGAAAAAACTACCAAAGTGGTGAGAGTCACAAGAGTTGGTCTTGGAGTAGAGAGCATCCCTGAGGGGATGTAACGCGATTGGAGGTGATTGAAATCACACTACGATTATTCAACTTGTCATGTATGCAAACAGCGAAACAGCAAATTGGCGACAGGCGCCCACTCAGTACTCAAGATATCGTATCCACATAAGAGTTCTCTTCAAACTGGCTATGGCGACTGAGCGCCCACACAACTCACTGTTCGCACTCTGGATCACCCTGGATGTCCCACACGCAACACTCAGTATCACACTTCACACACACACATGCTAGGC